TGAGGGTGCTCTGTCTAGGGAAGGACCTGTAGGGGATGAACCCAAACAGAGGTGTGGAAGTCTCCTTCACCCAGAGAAAAACTGGAAGCACAGGGAATGGCAGCATTGCTTGTCAGCAGGCTGGGATATCAGTGTGCCCTCAGCACCCAGACAAATGCTTTGGGAATGGAGCACCAGGGGAAGCAGGAGTGGAGCACAGGGTTCAGCTCAGCATCTGCTGGGAGGCACAGGGGATTTGGAGGGCCCTGAAGTCCTGTCTTTGTAATTTATAGAGAGTTAATCACCCACAGGGAACAAGTAGATACCCACAACCCAGTGCAGAGCAGCTCCCTGGCCCCAGCAGCCTTGTGGTTTGCCCGACCCCTTTGCCCACTGAACCGAGGCCATTAATTAGCTCTAACAAGAGGGATGTCTGTTCCTGAAAACAGCCCAGACCAATTTCTACTAAACCCTCCTCCCTTGCACATCCATCAGGAGTAACATCTACTTATGGTACTCCCTACCCCAAGGCTGAATTTGAACCAGTGACCTCGAGGTGAAAGCCCTGGAAAAGCTCCAGCCGCTTCCTGCGGCCGCAGCTCCCGGTGGGTTCTGCAGCACTGACAGAGCAGAGATGGTTTTAGCAACTGTCCATGGCAGCAGCTCGAGGCTCTGTGGGGCTCTCACACAGAGAGCTGCTCGCTCGGTGTGGGCAGAGCCCCTGGAGCAGCTGCAGGATGAGGGGTCAGACACTCCTACACAGTGCTGGGGGCAGGAGGGACTGGTCTGCCCAGTGCGCTGGGGTCAGCCCCCCACAACATGGTTTCCTTCTCAGGAGCAGATTTTCCCACTCCGGCTGGCCTAGGAGATACTGAGGAGAAGATGTTATCAGGGAGGAGCAGGCTCCGGAGCCAGAGGACAGCTCTAATTATCAAGAGCCAATTCCATTACAGCAATCCCAGCCCCAGGGCCGCACAGGCCAGATTTTCCAGAGGGGCTGAGTGCCACAGAAGCAGCTTGTCCTCAGTGCCCACAGGAAGAATGAATTATGCACACACGGAGCAGACCTGTGGCAGCCCACAGGGACCATCAAACCACCAAACCATGGTGCTCCAGCTCCAGTGCAGCCAGTAGACTTCAGGCACTTCGCTGCAACTCTGCTTGCTTTTCTTCTGCAGTGACCCCCAGCCCCTTCCACCACCACCTTGTGCTCCAGGTTGTCCTGGCTTTGCCCAGGCATCCTCCTGGCCCCAGCAGGCTCCAGCTATGGCCCAGCCTGCAGCTCCACAGGGGTGCCCAGGGGAGGGATGGCATTCCAGAGCCCACAGAGATGACCTTGTTCCACCAGTCCTTACAGGACAAGAGCAAGAGAGAAGCCAGAGCCAGAAATGTTAACTTCCCTCCTCCTGAGCCCCAGGGAAACCTCCGGGGGTGGGGAGCAGCACATCTGGGATACACTCCCACCTGGAGGAGGGAGAGCAGCTCCTCCAAATGCCTCCCACAGCCCACAGGAAAACCAAGGCAGAGTCCAGGGTGAACCAGCACAACTGCCTGTTCCCCTCAAGTGATTTCCCTATCTGGAGGCACAGGAGAGGAAGTATTTTAGTCATCCCAAAGGCAGCAAGAAAGTGGCAGCAAGTCATGGTTTTAACCAACCTTCTTATTTCTTTATTTGAAAGGCACAGCTTGTACGTCCTTGATACAGCATTTTCAGTTCCTCTTATAGGTCAAGTGATTAAACACAAAAAGCAAAACAAGATCTTTCTAAAGGACTATATACAAACACCAGATTATTATTTCATTTTTTTTGTTCCATTTTTGTTTTTTTAGAAGACACGCTAGCGCACGGAGATAAGAACAGAGAAAGCTGCTGTATCCTCTACACAGGGCAGGGGCGCAGGGAGGGGAGGCCAGGGAAGGCTCTCGGTCTGCCTGCCCCTCTGCCCAGAGCCAGGAGCTGTGCCCAGGGGAGCAGGGAGCACAGGCTTCCCCTCCCAGCCCAGGGCCCAGCCCGGCAGCCAGAGCTCGTTAGGAACAGGAACATGCAGAACAGCAAGTGCCAGCCTGGCATCATTAGTGCAGGAGGGGCGTGGGGAAGATGGGGCCAGGACGATGCAATGAGACCAAGAGCACCTGGGGAGGGAAGAGATTGTTCTGGGCCAGGGACCCCAGCAGGGAGTTGTGCAGAACTGTTAGGACCGAGGGGCAGTCTTTAAATACCGAGGGAGGAGCAGCAGGTGGAGGGGAGCCACATGGCACCGAGAAGCTGGGACAGCTGGGGGGCAAGTGGCCCCAGAGCAGCCTAAGCCAGGCTCTGGCTCTGCTCTGTGCCAGAGTAGGAGGAGGGACAGGGGAGCCAGGCTGGGCACAGGGAGAGCACGATCGGCCACACGGTCACAGCTATGGCGCTGGCGTTGCTGTGCAGCAGCCAGAGGGAGCAGCCCCCGGACCCTGCTGCCCGTGGGCACGGGCCTGGCAAACTGCCACCAAACAAATCTCCACGATTCTGCTGCACAGCAACTAGAGAGAGATACTGCATCTTGCATTAACCCAACCCCCCCTTCTCCAGACAGCCCCCTCTAGGGGCTCTAATCCGACTTCTCCCCGTCATCGTCTTGGTGGGCATCCCCGTCGTGGCCGTTCTTGTCCTCCTTGGAGAGGTGAGCCTGAGAGCCCAGGGCTGAGAGGGAGAGGAGCCCGGAGCCAGCACTGACTGCAGGGAGGGATGGGGGCTGCAGCCCCACGGGCAGCGGAGTCAGGGGCAGCGCGAGCGCCTGGAGCTGCGACAGCTGGTGAGCTTGAAGCTGCTGCTGTAGGGAACGATGGACAGACAGGGAGACACAACAGGGGTATTGTCATTTCGAGTGCACCTGGACCCCAACCCAAGGGCCTGGACTGCCCAGACAGACTGTGACAGAAGTCAAGCTTAAAACAGATCTCAGTCCTAGAGAGTATCACAGCCTCGGCACGTGTAGCAAGAGATTCTGGAGTCCTGAGGCTGTGGCAGTCTCAAGAGGAGACTCAACAGTGTGTCCCCAGCATGACATACAGCTCCTACCCCACAGGACATCTGGCCTTAGACTCTGGCATGTTCCAAGGATGTGGTTAAAGCCCTCACGACCTTGACCAGGAGCAGATGGTGTTTTCATGCCAAGGAGCTGCTGCAGCTCCTGCTCAAAACCAAAGCTCCTCTCCTTGCACCCTGCTGAGACAGAGCATGGATCTGTACTGCCCTGCAAACCCTCACCCTGTCACAGCAAGGCTGTGTGAGCCAGCCCAGCACTTGCAGCCTCACCCCACTGCAGCAGGTTGGGCACATCCTCAGGTCACAGCTCCACAGCTCAGCTCTGTCTCAAAGCCAAGGGCACAGACTCCCACCCCCCAAACCCCCACAAAACCTGCATCACGTACACGGATGATGGAGTTCAGTTCTGGTGCTGTAACCTGCTTAGCTCGTTCAATGGCTCCCAGGACTTGCTGCTGATGCTGGTGAGGGGAAAACAGAGGAATTCGGGGTCATTTCTGGTGTCACGGGGAAGCAGAACAGGGACTGAGTCCTGCTGGGTCTGACACACACATTATCTCAGCTGCTTGCAGTGAGGTGTTGGGACACAGACTGTTGGTCACCCCACAGCTGGACACACCTTCATCTGGGACAAGGGCCCCATGCCAAGGCCCATGGCAGCAAGGAGCAGGGCACACACTTCATCTGGGACAAGGGCCCCACGCCAAGGCCCATGGCAGCAAGGAGCAGGGAAGGAAGAACACTTCTCATCCATTCTCTCACCACAGGGTTAAGCAGGTTCCCTCTTACTCCCATCCTCATCCTGCTCTGCACAGGCCCAGAGATCCTTGGCGAGGAAGGCTCCAAGGTGGGCAGTGCCTCTCACCCTGCTGCCCTTCACCTACACAGATCCTCTCAAAACAAAACGAGCCCCAAAATCAGCAGCTCTTAGGAGGCTTCCCAGTCCTTGGGACACATCCCAGATCCCACCTGCAGCAGCTGGGTGCTTCAAACACAGGCAGGAAAAATGGATGGGTTGTGTATTTTAAAAAGCAACCAAAAAAAAAAACCCAAAAAAGGACAACTGTACTTGCTCCTTGGAGAGCACAAGGTCTCTGAACACCAGGCCCGTCCACTGCACTCCAGCCAGGGGATTTTTCTTTCCATCTTGGCAGCAGGACAGGGTAGGGATTGCATTAAGATGCAAAAGGTTTAGCTGTGGCTTAGTTATTAGGCAGCTCTGATCTGATCAGCAAGCCACTTTGTCCTTCCCAAGAACAGGTGGGTGGGAAAACCAGAACCTGTGCCCCAAGCTCAGCACTGACCCCAGGCAAGAAATCTCCATCCCACAGCTGGTCCTGAGCAGCCAGGAGAACTGCTCAGCCTCTAGGGCAGACAGATACAGCACTAGAGGTGCTTCATCTTCCTCCCACCTCAGAGAGCAACTCCCAAACCCCCCCAATTAACTTCTCAGAGAAGTGGGAGGAGCCCATCAGCTGCATTAATTAATGAGGCAGAGGAACCAGATCTCAAGGAGGAGCCATATGGAGGGTTTTTTTTTTTGAAGCATCTCCCTCCCCCAGTTAGAGCCCAAAGCTCCCACTGCCTGTGCAGAAGTGGCTGATGACTCAGGAGGAGCCACAGGCAGGAGAGCTCATCTTTGTCCACAGCCACCACAAAGGGGATGGACGGACACGTTACCCACTGGACAACACTTGGGGAGCCAAATCTGCCTGAAGGGCTGGTCCCTGTGCAAGGGCAAGCAATGAGGTTTCCCAGCCCTGGGGTGGGGACAGGGCCCTCTGCTCCCCAGGGCCAACACACTCTCCAGCTGGGGACTCACCTCTTGAGAAAGGTAGGGCAGAACCTGTGCACAAATCCCATTTAGCCTCTTGACGATTTCGGCCTAAAAGGTGGGAAGAAGGGAGAGGAAAGGCATCAGGCAGCTGGCCCCAAGCACCCACAACACCACATCCGTGGGACAGCAGTGGGGATTTGTGGCTCAGATCCTTCAACAAGCCTCAGATTTCCCTGGGGGAGCCAGTCTCATGGGCTTAGCAACAAGGGTGATGGGATCAGAAGCACCAAGTGCCTTTGTGAGGAGCAGAACTGTGCTAAGAGGCTTATAACTGAGCCACGACATGCAGCCAACTTTGTGACTGGAGTTGGAGCCAGACAGAGACAGGCTCAGAGGAGGCTCATGTTGTTAACACCACAGGTAATTGGTCACTGGGGATAATTAACAACCACCAGTGAGGGTAATGAGGAAACTTATCCAGGCTGACGCACAGTCTCCAAGCTCCAGACTCTGCCCACACTGCCCTGTCTGGTCCTTAGGTACCTGTGCAGGCCCTGAGGAAAGCCACAGGGTGCCCAGAGCCCAAGGTGGGAACCTTCAGCACGGCCCTGTGATTCCGAGAGGTATGGGGGGCCCTGCATTTCAAAAGCAGCTCTGACATTTTCCAGGCTCATGGCATTTCTAGTTCCTGAAACACCACTGAAGTGACCGAGGGCAACGCACAGCAGACAAACAACCTTCCCCAGAAATTGGAGCACTTGGAAATGCTTTCTCCCCTACCTGTTTGTGCATTTCAATATTCAGCCCGTAGGACATCTCATAGTACTGCAGAGCAGGAGAGAAGAGAACAAAACAAAATATAAGTCAAGTCTCCGCCAGGTAAAGTGGCTCCACACAGCAATGCTGGGAACCACCACCACGTTCCTGGCAGGGTCTTCTACAGAGGCAGGGCAAGGCTGGAAGGAGAGCAGAGGCCTAGGAAACCAAGGCAGCAGGAGGAAAGCACAGAGACCCCCTCCAGGTCCAAGGCAAAGCCCTGAGCCCAGGCACTCCCTGCCCACCCTGCTCCAGATGCCTGCTGCTGCAGATGGAGACCTGGAGACTTGCCAACTGGGCCCCACACAACAGCCCTCAGAGACACCTTTCCAGCCTGCATCAAGGTGAGAGCGAGAGATGCTACAGCAAAACCTGGAAAAAGGCTCAGATCTCCCCAGACTTCCACATCCACAGCCAAAAGAGAGGCAGTCTGACTCTCCACGCTCTGCCTGGCTAGGATCCTACAGCCTGCATGGCTGCTGCAGCAGCAAATGGAAGAGATCACAACTGGACCTCATCTAGCACACATCTAACACATCCAGCTGCACACAGCTCCAGCTGCTTGGAAAGAAGTTATGTGGAAAAAAAACCACACAAAAACAACCCACCCCTGCACAGCAGCAACAGGCAGCTACAGACAATCTACTGGCAGGAAAAGCTGATTCCTGACCCCTGGAAGAAGCTGTTCTGAGGCTGATGTTTGAGAGTTTAGAAACCTCCTCCTGCAGCTTGCAGGCTGCAGTCCTGATTCTTCCAAAGGGAATGAGAAATCCACATCTGTGCTCACTTAATGCAAGGAGATTTCTGGCACTCTGGTTGTGATGCCACAGCTCCGAGACGCTCCCGGCCTGGTGTCGGGGTGATCTCAGCCTGCTCCAGGCTCCCGAGGCTCCTTGGCATTCTGGAGACCTCCCCCAAGCTGCCGATTGTGACTTGTTCAAAAACCAGAACAGCTGTAGCAGCTCTGCAGCCTCCCAGAAACCCTCCCCTGCGCGCGCCACGGCTCAGCCATGCAGGAGCTGCTGTGCCTGCACAGCCCCCAGTGCTGCACCACAACTCAGAGCCCTTTCCCTCTGCTGCTGAATCAATCCTGGGCACTGCCAGCATTAAGAGGAAAGAATCTATCTCAGCCACATCTGGAGAGGAGGGTGTCTATGCAGACTGCAAGGCCCAGGAAGCAGCTGTTCACCAAGAACGGGGCAGGTTTCCCCATGAATACACAAGGAAAGCTGTGACCTCTTCTCCTTATTCCCAGCTCCAAGCCTTGCTCCCCACAGCCTCAGAGTCTGGGCACACACGCAGTACAGGACGGAGGGGGCAGCTCCCTTATTGCTGGTGTTAAAGTACTAACTCTGCTCTGAAGAGCTGCTCTATTAATTCCTACGTAGTATCTCTCCTTCCAGGGCAGGTGCAACAGCTGGCAAGAAGTCACCAGCTCATCTTCATGGACAGTATCACAACCTCCTGCTAACTCCACCACAAGAACAGAACAGACCACAACCCTGTCTGGCATCTCTCCCCTCTGCTCCAAGGGCTCTTGCAGAGGAATGACCTGGCAGGCAAACCGTGGCCCTGCCTACCAAAACAGGCTGTTTCCTGGCAGATTTCTCTTTGGAAAGCCACAGCTGAGCCTGTTGCCTGCACAGGGCACCACGTCTCATGCCTTTCCCAGGCACTGCCCTGGGCTCTGCACACTTTGCCAGTGAGAGATAGCAGCACTCAGCACCACGACTCTGCAGGGCTGGGGGATCACCAGAAGGTGCACAGGGTTTTTAACTCCTGCGCAGGAGCTGGTTTCTGCTTCCAGCTCCCCCCAGGCTTGTGGGGCTTCCCAGCTTCTCGGAGCACTGCTTTGCCTCCCCGAGTCCCCAGACACCTGCACACCAGCACCTTGCAGCTCCTTCTCAGGTGTGTGAGAGCTGTCACTTCCCCTAGGCACAGGGAGCAAAAGGCCAAGGACACATCCAGCGGTCGGCCACTACGCCCATCAGTCTTCTACGCCAAAAAATTCTCTGCTCCTTCCCCAGATTTCAACAATGTGCTGCACGCAGCCAACACGCAGGACAGAACAGCCCTGTTTTCAGGGAAGGCAGTGCCAGAGCCCGGGGCTCCCTGCCAGGCAGGGCCCAGGCACGGGCACCTGCTCACGCCGGAGTCGCCTCCCACGCGCTCTCGGCCGGTCCTTACCATGACGTAGTGACGCTGCATCTCCGATTTCTCACTGGCTAGTTTGTCACATTCCAACTTCAAGCTGAAAAGCCAGAAAACAGTAAGAAAAACCACAAACAGGAGGTGAGAGAGTTGATCTCTACAGAGCAGCTGCTTCCTGCACGGCCTCATCCTGGCCAGGCTGGATCTTGGACACCACCAGCCAGAGCCAGGCACAGGAGCGACTACACAGAGCCTGCTCCCACCTTCCCAGCTGGAGTCCCACCAACACACCAACAGGAGAGGCACTCGAGGCTGTCTGCCAGCTGGACACTGACCTCCAGCAGGCAGATCCATTCTGTGGGAAGCAGAACGCTGGGCAGAACGAGTTGGCTGCCCGGGGAGGGGTTCCCAGATCTGGGGACAGCTTCTGGCACAGGCCTCGCTGCAGCTCTCAAGAGATGCTCCGACACAACATCCAAACCAAAGCCAGACCCACTTCTGGATTGCAGCAGGGAGGCCCAAGTGCAGCACAGCCCTCCAGAAGGAAGGATTTTCCCTCTCCCCCAGATTCTTCACGCCCTTCGGAGAAAGTGTCGCTGCTCCCATTGTTTTATGAGACTCCAACTCACCAAGCCGAGCAACTGCAGCCAGCATGTGCTGTGGTTTTATGTTTCAAACAAGAAACAGCTTCACCTACACAAAACCTGCTCCTTCTCGAGTAGCTTATGCCCGAAGGGGTGGGGGGAAAGAATCCCTTTCAGCAGGCACAGTTCTTTGGGCTGTCCTGCTCCCTCAGTGGCACTGCCAGGGGGGCACAGAGCACCAGGAAACAGACACTTCCCAGCAGTTTTTCTGCCTGCTCCTGCCAGAATGACACCACCACAAACCTGCAGGGCTGGGGCACATCACAGCCAACACAGACCCTTCGAGAGGCACCCACAGCCTGCCAGGCTGGGGCACAGGGCATCTCCCAGCCCATTTCACCCCGGGGCTTCGTGTTTATTTCAGACACACGGACAGAAAGCCACAGATCGTCTCCAGCCAGCTTTTGGGTCAGCGCAAGTATTCACACACACACCCGCAGAGGAAAGCAGAAGCTTTTAGATTTAAGTGCTCCCTGCAGCGTTCGCAGCCCAAGAATGGCAGCCAGAGAGGACTGAGGAAAACTCCCCTCGAGAGGTGGAGGCCTGGCGAGCCAAGCAGCGCTCGGAGGAGGAGAGACCTTGGCCGGAGAGGGGAACACATGTTCTCCTCGCTCAGCTCCCACGCGGCCGCGACTCAGCCCCAGCGCAGGGTGTCCCGGGCCGGGCTGGTGGGTCCCGCGGGGCTCAGCAGCAGCG